GGCCCTACGGTCACTCTTAGCAACAAGGAAATCACAGATGTATATACTTTAGCCAGACGTGCTGCAGCCCCCAACAAAATTGGGTCCTGTTTATAAATTAGGGGAAATGGATATTGGGTAGGCACCTAGAAGTGACTGGGGGCAGAGGGAGTGTTGCTAGAGAACACGAAGTGTGAAGACAGAGGTAGAGGATGGATCCAGACCCAGCAGCAGTAGCATGCAGGATTTGGCCATGAACTTAGCTCCACTGAGTCCACCAATTTAGAGACTGGCTGAGTCGATCCTATGTCCTCATAAGATTGAAACTATCAAACTAATACATTTATTAGTGTTAACTGTAGATACACATTAGCCAAGATTTCTGCCCAATAATAGGCTACAATTAAATACATCAGGAAGTTGTATCAAGACCACATTATTAGTTACTAGCTATTGAGGGCCTACTCTGTGTCAGGTTCTACACACATAGTGTCTCTAATTTTTATGGCAGTTCTTCAAGGTAGGTACTACTATCCCCACTTTACAGATGAGCAAATGGAGGTTCAGACAGGCTAATGGATTGCCCTAGGTCACACAGCCAATTAGCAGAGGTGCTGGATCCAAACGTAAACCAAACTCCAAAGGTCTCACCTTTTTCTCTGTGTTACATCAGGTCGCCTCTTTCACTATACACCCCTTATTAATAATACTTTGACATGACAATGTGTTAAAAACACGGTGGCGTAAAATCTTGTCCAAGATGCATATTTGGTTGGGGAGACGGTAGTAGTGTTGCTTGGTGCTGGGGATTCGTGTTTACTAAAGCCCTGTTTTTTCAAATGTGTGTTGGATCCAATCTATCATTAGAGATGCTGGAAAACATCAAAAGGAAACAAACGAAAAAAAAAGAAGCAGGGATCAGATGGCGCAGATGTAGCCAAAATGCTATAGACAAGGCAATCTCAAGAAACTCTGGATGCTGTTAATGAAGAAATGAACAGCTGTCCGGACTAAGAATTGGCAAGACTCCTCGGATGAATATACACAGGTAAGAAGAAAAAGAGCCACCTCATGATCACAAATAAGGACCAATAACTAGTCTACCCCAAGCAAGTGTGCTGTCTAAATGCAGCCCTGGACTCAGGCTTAGGGCTCTGGAATGCTCTCGCTTCAGGACCAGGATCTTCGATTAGAAGGTTGGACGGTTACCAAGGCAACTCCCAGATCATCTTCTAACCTTGGGCCTGCTCCAAGCCCCAGACTCTTAGTCCAGTTTAGTCATACATTATGGACAGATCCCTAGATTGTACTTGGCCCCTCTGAATATTGACTATATTCTGACATTTGGTCCAGGGCAGTGTCAAAAGTCTTAAATGGCCTTATCCTACACCTAGAAGAGTAAACTTCCCATTCACTCATCCTTCCTTTTTTTTTTTTTTAATTTATCCATCATGTATTTGTGGAGAGCCTGATGTCCCGGGCCCTCTTCTTGTTGCTAGGGATGCAACGATGGTTGAAACAGACAATCCCTGCCTTTGTGGAATTTAGAGGCTAAGAGGAGAAGTTAATTAAATAACCTCCTGACCCAAATGTAAATTCATGATGATAATATGCTACTAAACATTTGCAAAAGACCAAGAATTGTGCTAAAATGGATTGCCAAAATGGCACTTAAGCCTCTCCGCTGTCCTGGGGAAACTAAGGTTCAGAGAGGAGATTCAGCTTTGCCAGCTGGGATTCCAATCCAGTGTCACCTGATGCAAAAAGTCCACACATTTGACTACTTTCTTATATCTCCCTTGGCAAACGATAGATCTGATTTCTTTCCAGTTTCTGTGAGGTCTAGATTTGAGCTTGTGGAAGTTCTACTTTTTCACGTAGCCTTCGACAAAAAATATTTCAGCACCTAAAATGTGTAAATCTTTGGGGTTGGGCAACTTAATACAGATGAGTTTTAATGCTGAGAAGCAACAAGAATTTGCTACGTGAAGGATACCTGAAAACCAGATTACTACCTACGCCAAAGTTGAAACCATATTCCGCACAGACATTTCTGAATGTTTTGGATTATTAATACAGCAATGGCGCTCTCTGATGACTGCTGGTGTGTATTACATGTCTCTTGACTGGGGAAGAATACATTTTGGATGTCGTGGAGGCCTCCTATTCCACAGTCTGGATAAACAATAAGCCTCCCTTTGGCTTGATCATCTTCACTCCTCATCCCCTTCCCCTTTTATCCCTCACCATTTACTTCGATTCCAGAGGGAAGGTCATGGATACAGAATGCAGCCCTCTTGTCAACATTCAGAGACCCAGCAACCAGGACACAGGTCCCCATGACAGACAGTGAAATTGTCACAGTGTGAACCATGTGCAGACAATCTCCAGGATCACTTACCCATTTAAGTCATGACAGATTCATCCATCATCTCCTGCTAGAATGCTCCTTCTTTTCTGAAGAGTATGGCTACACATAATCCTACCCACACACTCTGTGACGCTATCCCACAGCTTTAGGAAACAGACAGGAATTTATACATTCTCTTTGAGCTAAGAACTATTGTGCTAAGAGCTGGAGACACAGTGATGAACAAGTCATGGTCCCCGTTCTAAATCTTACACTCTATCAGGGGACACAGGTGGCCAATTTGTCTGTAACCCATTCACTTCCAATTATAATAATTGCTACAAAAAATCAGGCTTTGAGTGTCTGCGCATGCAAGAAAGACCTCATTGGATCTAGGGGTCAGAAGAATTTTCCCTGAGGAAGGAGAGTAAGGTGTGGGGTGCCAAAAATGGAGAAGGGACTAGTCAGAGTGATCAGGGGCTTGTAGAAGAAAGAACCTGGAGCTGAGGCAGCCTGAACTGGGCTTCTCCAGGGGCTGAAGGTGAGTGATCAGTGTGGAGTCAACCAGTAGAAACAGACATTAGGTAATCTCAAAGATGGTGAGCTATCAAGAAAGAATGTTTGTCATTAACTGACCCATTGTGAATGAGCTGGTGTTAGAGGATGAGTATAATCCAACACCTGAATGTTTCTTTTGAGGGTTAAACTCTCTTGGCCAGGTGTGCAGTGGCTCACACCTGTAATCCCAGCACTTTGGGAGGCCGAGTCGGGTAGATCACTTGAGGTTAGGAATTCGAGACCAGCCTGGCCAACATGGGAAACCCCTACCTCTACTAAAAATACTAAAATTAGCCAGGTGTGGTGGCATGAGCCTGTAATTCCAGTTACTCGGGAGGCTGAGGCAGAAGAATCGCTGGAACCCAGGAAGCAGAGGCTGCAGTGAGCCAAGATTGCACCACTGCACTCCAGCCTGGGCGATACAGTGAGACTCCGTCTCAAAAAAAAAAAAAAAAAAAAAAAAATTTAAACTGTCTTGAGTACTAAATATTGGTGTGGAGAACATCCTGGATCTTTGCCAATTCTGCATCTTCCCAGGAGCCAAGGATATTGCAGAATTTGATATTTACATCCCCTCTACTGCTTGTGTAGGATGAGGAAATAACAATAGCAGACATGATTGCTGAGGTTGGGTGGGGGGAGTTGAGCTAACAATAGGCAAAAGATGAAGGGAAGAGAGGATAATGGTGGCAGCTATGGGATTCCAATGGTGAACTGTGGCTACTTAAAAAAACTCAGGATATAAAGCCTTACCTATTGTGGGATACCAACTAGCTCTCAGGATATCTCAGGCTAAACAAGCGAGATTTAGATCCTCAAAACCTGGGTTCAAATCCTACTCTTCTACCTCTAGGTATGTGATTAGGTTAACAAACTTTCTCTGCCTCCATTTCTACGTCTGTAAATAGCAATAATGGTAGTATGTGCCTGCTTTTTAGATTATTGTGAAGCAGTGCGTGCAAAGTGAATAGCATCACTCCTGGTAGTTTTTAATTATTCAATATTGGCTTATTATTATTGACAATATTTAATATTTGGGAGGAAATCCACACACATATAAGAGAGACTTAACGAAAACTTTTATTTTCTTCTTCACACTTTTCCGTTATTTTCCAATTTTCTAAAATGAGTATGCATTGCTATTAACACCAAAAGGAGAGAAACCCACAAATTTCTGAACAATAGAAGTTTGACTGTTTCAACTTTTCCGGAATTTCCCGGAACATGTTGTTCAAGGAGGACATGGGGGTGCATGCTAAAAGCACGGATTGCTAGGTCTCGATCCGTAAATACTGGGTCAAAATCTTTAAGAAATAATTCTGGTAATCTATACTTTTAATCAGCTCCACAGATGACTGTTACAATCACGCACTCCTGGGACGTGTTGATCGAACGGGAAGTCAGCAGAGAGTGGGCGGGGAAGGCCAGGCGGGTTGCAGCGATCACGAGGAGTGCGCCTACAATTCCCATATTGCCCCGCGAAATAGCGACGAGCAAGCCAGAGCCCTGCCGGGAGTTGTAGTTTCCCTCGCTAGGCCGCTGCCTATAAAGAACGCCGGAGATGGCTACAGAAAACTTCCCGCCCCACAATGCAAAGGCCAACGGCGACGCCATCTAGGGCGCGCCTGCAATCGAGCAGGCAGTTTCTGCCGCGTCTGCCACAACCTCTGCTGTCTCAGAGCTGGCCTTCGCCGCCGCCGCCCCCA